AGACTATTAATAGGAATGAAGATTGCAGTGTGTGTCACTGGGAAAAGAAACTTCCCTTAGGTTTGAAAAAAATGACTTGTCTATTCAACAAATAAGATAACATAGAAAGAGAGAGGGAATTATTGACAGATTTTTTATTAAAATAAAGAGATAGCAAGCATATTAGAGGATTTTATTATCAAAAGAACAATCTAAATAATTTTTTTTAGTAGATAGATACATGTGGGACGTTTTTCAAATTCAGAAAGTAGCTCAGATGAAATTAAGTGGCTCGGAATAGAATTAAGTTTACACATTAAAACATATGGGATGGAACCCATATGAGTCAAGTGACCTGCTTCTATAACAGTTGCTACAAATATAGATGATTAATACCATTTCACATATCTTCCTGAACCAAAGATTACATAGATCTTGCAGATACAATAGAAGTTATATTGGTTACCTGAGTTGTCCCCCTGAGCAAATGGGGAAGAGATGCAAATCGCAGAGATTCTTAAGTGGAAGCAGACGAGGGACTATAGGGACTATTATAATAGAATGATGTACAGGAACATGGCTTATGTCTTCCCATACTTCAAGACTCTCATCATAAATAACCGTAACATTTACATTGGTGCCGTGCTCCCATTTGGCTTTTTTTTTTTTTTTTTTCCCAGTTGGTTCATTGATTATGTGTCCTGCAAAACAAAAGCTGTCTGTTGGCTGAGGCCAAGGTATTGATCTCTGCTCATTCACTAGCAATGGACACAAATTCAGCTTCCATTAGACACCCAATTTGGCTTGTGAACCCTACGTCCAAAGCTGGATATCTAAATAAATTTGCCCAACACTCCATGGTCATTAGTTGGTCAATGACTCGATTAATGACCCAATATTGGTCATTAGTCTGAGTTTTGGCAGCTCCTCCTATTTCAGCCATATGATTTTGTAGTTAGAATGCTCATTCAAGCTAGTTCCAACATCAAAAGAAACAAATTCTATCCTTTTAATCACTCATTTCCATCATCAAGTCACCACTGTCTTGGGTATTTGTAAGGTATTTGTAAGACTCTATGAGGAGTCAGACATAAGAAGTGATCTAACTGAAAAAATCCCATGCTAGAAAAGAAAATCTCTTTTCTGCAGGACTTCTTCCTAAACTTATTTCACTTCATGGCCTCAGTAACTGCTCAACCATGATATAAAAGAGTGAAGGAAAACAGGGAAAATAAGGAAGGATAATGATATTTCTATTTTTAGTATCAGTGCAGGCTTTCATGTATACCAAAATGGGTCCTACAGTCAGCATGGAGTCTTTTTTTTTTCTTTTTTGTGCCTTACATATTTTGTCCTTATATGTTTGGTAATATATAATTAATATATTAGCAGATTATATGATAATAATATTTAGCATTCCTGCCTCGTGCATACAGCAGGATCTGCCAGCACAGGAATTTCTTCCTGCAGCTACATGGTAGTTGATTCCTTAATTCTCCTTAATTTCTTAATTCCTTAAATTAAAAAAGTTTATACTCTAAGAGCAAGCCAAGATCTAATGCAAATGGAAAGAAATAGTGAGGGATAAAAGGAGAAATCACAGATAAGGGTAGCAAGCATTAATCACTCTTTAAACCCCAATTATAGGCAGAGTAAACAAAATTAGACTGCTTCTCTCTACATTTATTTCTGTAGTGTCTGTGGAGTTAGGTCATGTGGAGACAGTGGAATGTGAGTATATATGCAGCCAGAACCTAGTACAGAGCAAAAGTCAATTTCACTGAAGAAAAATAAGAAGTAGATAACATAGCTAGAGTATAAATAGAAAATGAATTGGACAAATTATCCTCACAGAGCTCTAAGTAGTTGTTTTTCAATACATAGTGTGATAACTTCAGCATCTCCACAGCAATCCATTTCTTTGGCTGTCTTATCAACCGCTTTCTCTCCACTCCCTACAACATCATACAGAGATCACCAACAGGAATAAGGCTTTCATCCTTTTTTTTAAACCCTCCATTTCTGAAATAGTGTGGAGCTTTGTTTTTAATTACAGATGCAATATGTTGCTCTGTAATGTCATGTTCTGCCTAACCATTGGGTTATGTGCTTCCAGTAATTGCAGCCTTCTTTCCATCCTTCCAGGTCTTTTTCTTTTCTGCCTTTAATCAAATTCATCAAAAGATTGTTTAAAAATGTCAGTAAATTCACCTTTATTGTCTGGCTGATGGCTTATATTGCAAGGTGGTGCTGGAACACTTTATTTCTACTGTCAAAGGTGCTATATATGAACTCAGAGGAAACGCAGTTGCATGTCAGGAAGATTTTTGTTATGGAAAGGTCATATACAGGTAGCATATGGCATCAAAAAAACAAAACAAAACAGAAAACCCCCCAACATTCTCCAGCTCCTGCAAAGGTTCTAAGAAACTCAGTAAAATGTCAAGTCACTTTCATTAAAGGGCATCAATTGATTCAGAGCATCCATGACAGGGATTAGCAGGAATTCTAGGTCCATTGCCTCAGTGATAAAGTTTCACACTATAATAATAGTGTGAAATTCATGCTATAATAATAGTTGCTAATAAGAGGACAATAAGAATGCTAATAAGAGGACATTTATTTTCAATGTTATATTATGTATTGGGCCTAGGATGGTTCTGCAGAGCAATCTTTCTCTTAGCTTAATTGTCCTATAATTGCTTAGGGAGAAATTGTTTAGTTATAGCCAACTTGTCAAAGGAAGAACTATTTTGTGACAAAATATAGCAAAATCCAGCACAGCAGATAAGATACTAGTAAAAACACAGTTAATTTCCCATATTACTTCATTACTGGATCTTCTTTAGATTGTTACAGAGAAATAACAGAGTGTAATGAATAAAGTTAATAAATACAATCACCAAATTAGATTTCTAAATAAGGTTTTGGCTTACAAAAATATTTGTTCTGAGGAATTAAGAAAAATAAGTAGATTAAGAAATGCAAAGACTGCATATAGGTGGAGTTTACCACATTAGTTATTCAAAGATGCTATAAAAGGGAAATTGTGTTTTCTTTCTTAGCACGCATAAAAACTCTCACGAAAGGAGTTTCCAGCTAACTTTTAAAGCTCAAGGACTGGAACATGGTCCATTTTTAGATCATCTAGTGATCAGATAAGAAAAACAGGTGGAAGAGAAAAAATATTCACAAAATGAAGCTTCTGCTTCTGCTCAGAGGTCTTCTCCTATGGGCTTCATATGACCATGCATGTCAAGAACTACACAAAGAAAAATACAGTTCTCACTTGGCTCTGCTGCAAACTGAGAAACTTGTTTTGGTGACCTAAAAGATCAAAGTCATCTGAAGGGCCTTAATTATTGGAATGATTCTGAAAATTTATGGACTATAATGTCATATTAACGTTTCTGTGATAGCATTTTCATGTTTACATTTTGGTTTTTGAGAGCTATTTCTTGAAAATACAGGTACCTTGAAGAAAATGGACCAAATATGAAATTTGCCCCATTATGGTGCAGTGGATGGGCAACACCGCCATAGATCCCTTCCAGATTAAGTGTTATACTCTTCTTTGATCTTGTATAATTCAGAGGGTTGAATACTGTTCAGCAGGAATTAAAATCTGTCCCTATCTTGAGGGTATTTGGTAGTTTTTGACTTTACTTTTCCCTTTGTAATTTTTACAGGGGAGTTAGGAACCGATATTTTGTGATGTCTGCTTTGTTCAATCTTGTCCTGAAAGTTGTTTTAGCGTGGCCAGAACTACACTATGACTCATGAGAGCCAGCAACAACTTAAACCATTAGAGAAGAGGAGAAACAATGATAATATATTTTTAAATATATATGCATATATATTTGTTTTAATCTTGATATTATGATAAAATTACTTTCTAGGGAGGTGTCTGAAGCTGACCTGTACAAACAGGTGATCAGATGAAATTATGTTCTAATAGAAGACAAGCATACGGAAAAGAGGATTTAAATGCGAATTAGATTATAGATGTTATCCCACTGACCTCTGCCTTCATCCTCCTCTGTTCTACACAGGTTGTAGAATTGATTGTCTCTGTAGCATGAGCCTGGGGCTACTATCTAATTTTATATTCAAACTCCTTCTCTTTGTAAGTCTAGGGTAGATTACATCTTGAGATAAAACACCCGAAGCACATCTTGATCCTGCTGTCCATGTGTGCTGTAGGTGTCTAAATTCCCATTATAAAAGACAGTAATCTAGTCAATATAGTCAAAGATATGAGAAAGTAATTTATCCATATCATTGACATGATTCAGTTGCCTAAACACAGATACAGAATGCCACTCAATAGACCTTTGTATATCTGAAATATCTGCATGGAACTGGCAAAGACAACACAGAAATTATAGGAGATGTACACACTTTAGAAGTACGGCAGGGGAATAAATAGTATCTCAACTGATGTTAAATGCCTATGCTGGGGTAACCAAGGTGAGTCCTAGATCTCTTCTGACTGTTAACATTTCCTGTGTTTAACAACATTGGGAGTTAGTGAATGATAATGGGATATAACACAGTACCTAAACGGACTTCAAAATAAAATGCTCCCCCTTTTTTTTAATCTTTATTTAGTTCCTTGGAAGTGAAAATATCATTCTTAGACTTCTTGGTGAGTTCAGTGAAATGGAAGGAAGGTGAAGGAAGGAGAACAGAGAGTTGATTTTTTAAGATAGTAGAAGAAATATGTCTTAACAAAGAAAGAAAGATCTTAAGTCACCTTGAGAACAGATGCTCTAAGGGTCACTGCTTTACATTTTTCCAGCTGGGGGGAAGCAGATACCAAAACCCAGAAACTCCATCTCCGAGAGCCTCTGGGTAATGTCATTCCCAATGGAAAGCCAGATCCTTTGCAAACTGTCTGACCTGGGCCACGAGCATAGACTTGTGAGCTGAAGGAGAACTGGATCCAGCATCTCTCCTTGCACAGACAACCCTTGCCTCCAAACATCTGCCCCAAAAATGGACCAGCACTCTGGCTCCCCATGTTTTTAGAATTCTTGGAGGAGACTGGAGAACAGCCAGGATCACTCAGGTGGTTTCAAAACTTCCTTGGCTCCTTTGGGCGGGTGGGCGATGTTGAAGCACCTTCTTTCTCTGAGCGGCACCCTGGAGGTGCGGGAGGAGAGCGGGAATTGCCGGGTACCCAAGAGGGGCCCAGGCGTCCGGGAAGGGAGGTGCAAGCGCTCCTGCGAGGCGGGCCTTGGGCAGGTGGGGGCGGGCTGAGCCTCGGCTTTTTTGGCAGCCTCACGAGAAGGCAGCGGCAGCGGGAGGACCCGGCGGCTGCTGCGGAGGATGCGAAGTTTGCCCTGGCTGCTGCTGCCGCTGGTGAGCGGGGGGACCCCCGGGGCTGCGGTGCCGAGGGAGATACGGGTGAGCACATCTGGCTCCCGCAGCTGGATGGCCCCTGCGCTGCCCCCCTGCAAGGGTCCGGGGGGGTTTGGGGGGTTTAGGGGGTCTGCAGGAGCAAGGCAACTTTTTCAACCCCTGCCAGTACAGGGTGGGGGTGCAGGCAGGTAGAGAGGAAGATAAAGAAGGGAGAAAATAAAAATAGGGAAAAAAAAGACCAAAAGAAAAAATGAAAATGAAGAAGAAAAGGTTTTTTGAGTTAGAATTGCGACTCACGTCTTTTCTTTCTCATTACATTTCTTTTTCTATTTTCCAGGCTTCAGATGCTATTGATAAATGCCGTTCATTAGAAGTGCAGTTTTCAATGTGCAGAAAAACATCCCTAGATTTAGTAACTGGAATGCATATTTAGAGGGACAGAAGGAGGTGATTTTTTGCCCTTGTTGCCTTGGGACAGGTAACTTTGCTGAAAAAGAGGAACATCTAGAAGAGAAAAAAAATCCAAATGAATTTGGGACATTTTGCCTCTTTGAGAAAGCACTGATGTTTCTTTTACTTGCTGAAGGTAGCTGTCAGCAAGAGGGAGCTGTCTTATGTCTGCTATGCACTGAAAACAGCAGGTGAGATTGTAACATTAAAGATTAAGAGAAGAGGTGTCAGCCTAGATAGGCAATTCAAGCCCCACGGCCTCTCTGGGCTGGTCAGCAAAAGTTGGTGTAGGTATATGGATAATTATATCTCCCCTTTCCCCTAATCTGCAGCTTTAGAGCATTGTTTGAAAACTTTTCTATGGGCATGATTCCTGGGGTGCCATTAATTCAAACTTTGGTGATTTCACAGTTGAATGTTTAGTGTAGGCTGGGATTCAGACACTGTCTGTGGGAAATTGAAAGCGAGGCACCTGCAGCAAAGCATTTTGTCTTATCCTAAGACAGATAGATGGGAAGAGTGTTCCTCTAGGGCCTGTTTTCCAACACTGATGACAATGAGAGCATAAATGATTACAGAGCTGATTTGATCCTTAGGTTTTAAAAGGTGAAAGGTAGGAGATATGAATCTTCACATGCACTGGATTTCTTTTCTTCAGACTTCTGGATTTCTTCTGTATTTATACAAATTTATTTGCAAGTGATAGGGTGTAAATACTTGCTATTTAGACCTTGTCATATAAAATTATTGTCATATTAATCCCTTTATTTCAGGGAAAACTAGTCAGACTGGAGTCTTATACTGCTACAGGTCGAGCAACTTTGGCATGTGGACGAACCTCTTCATAGTGGTGTGGCCACATCTATGCTTACAGCTGTTTGCAAAGGGGAGATAACCTATTATACACATCTGTGGGACCCTTTAACATTTTAATATGTTGCAGAAAGACTGTGTCCATGACAAAGTACCTATCAGATGAGGTGACAGAAGTGAATTTCCTACTTTTCAAAACGCGTGATCCACCTGGCTAATATCATCAAACCACTGCTTACATATGAACTTTAACTACATGTCTAATAAGAGTCAGAGGTCTAAGTGTTGGTGGGTTTAGATGTCTCCAGTCAGGCTTGATAATAAGGTCTGCACTCTGGGTCAGAAAGTCAGGGAGTGCCAGTGACCCTCAGCACGTTTAAGGTGTATGTTCCCTCATATGTAAAGGGATCCCGTCAGAGTGGAGTAAGAACTAGAACACAGATTTCCCAAATAATTCTTTATTCTGAAGTGAAAATAAACCAGAAAACTCATCATGAAAAATTTTCTCTGTGAAATGGGGCACTTTTAACTCCTATTAGCTCCACAGGGAGCTGTGTGTTTCAGAATATACTTTGTGTCTTGAAGAATAAAGCCCTTGACATCAGAAATTACCATTTGCTTGTAAGTGACAAGAAATTGAGAAGCAGGTGATGAAATGCATTAAAAAAAAAAAAAAAGAAAGCAAGCAAGAAAGAAAGAAATTTCCTCTCTTGAAGAGTTTGAAACCAAGGGTGGGGAACAAAAGAGACTATGCATTCACTATTCTTCTCACTAAGCTAAACTGCTGCCTCCTGCAAACATTTAATAGCTTTTCACATTTCTGAGGAAGAGATTCTGTGTAAGAGAAGGAATGGAAGTGGGAGTGGAAATATTAATGGGCTGGCGTCAAGCTATACAATTGCTTCAACACAGCATTTCTTATGGTTATAGACACATCGATCCAAATCCATGGCAAAGTGATGAATTCTCTCCCCAAAAAAAGAGAGATGGGTACCTAAACTCCTGATAGAGCTACAGTTGGCTCATCTGCTTTGCAGGGAGACTTCCTGTGAGGATTCAGGCCAAGAGCAAATGATTATAAAAGACAGCTTGATGGGGGAGCTTATATAGATCATCTAAAGTTATCTATCTAAATTTTAAGTGTTGTGTAAGGCTACTCATTTATGTTCCTTTAATGCCATTGGAAAGAGGTAGAAGCACCACAAGAACAATATCTAGGAATTTGGCTGACTGAGTCTGCAAACAGACTTGAGTATGAGTTCTAGCTGGCTTGACTTAAGTGGCCTGAATCCCCACCTTTAGCCAAAAAAAAAAAAAAATCTATAAACAGAGAAGGGGAGAAAGTTCACTTTTGTATAAAGGAATAGCTGTGATAGTGGACAAATAAGAGTCCTTGGGCTTTAGTGTGGTTGATTTTTTAAGTATTAGCAGCAATCACATATTCTACCAAGTCCATTTCCTTTCCATTTTTTTCATGATAAAACTAATTGCATATGAGTTACCAAAAATATAGTATGCCTATATCGTCAAATACAGAATACCTCTGAGTGAATATATGCATTGCTCTACATAGATAGTATGTATAATGTATATGGTTTAGTGTAAAGCAATGCAATGAAATATAATCAGATAGATGCAAACCAATACACAGAAGTGCATTCAAGTATTACTCCAAAGTCTTAAAAACAATTTTGAAAAGATATTCTTCTAAATGAAGGCAATCAGTGTCTCGGCTTCTCGTGTTCTGTAGGTAATCAAGTTAGAGAGAGGAAACAAACACTGAAAATGTCCTCTAGGTAGTCATTTCCAGCCCAAAAGACTCCAGAAATAATCTATTTAACTGACTGAAGAAAAAGACTGGAAATAGGCCTTTACCTTTGGGGTTAAAAGCTTTTTGGGTACAAGACTTCAAGTTAAGGGCAGGACTTTCTCTGATAACTAAATGCAGTGACTGGTGTCATGTCACTGCCGTGGTGACCTCATGAATCAAGAATGTTAAACATGTGGCAGAAATAAAGTATTTTGTCAATTGAATTTGAGCGATGGACTTTTTTGGTATAACACAAATCCTTGATTTAATGCTTTTATAGTTTCTTTTAATTTCCGGGGATGCGTGGTACTACTTAAATCATATTATCAGTATCTCAGTATCTCTCCTAGGACACAAAGGATTGGAAGATCTTTGCTGCAGTGATTGCAAAGGAAGTTACATTGAAATGGTCAGGATTTTACAGAGGCCAAGGTGTGATTCGACACCTTTCAAAGTCGGTGGAAACATTAGCCATGACTTTGGTACTGTGCCATGCCCAGTCTCAAAGTCTTTCAAATTAGTACTTGGCTTTTTCAGAAAGTAGTTAGCAGATGGAGAAAGCTAGACTTTGTGGAAGATCTTGATGAGACAATTTTCAATAGACTGAAAAGTTTCTGAAAAGCTGAGGTTTCATTGACTTGTTTGGTAATTAGACCTATATTCAAAAATTTCCAGCTTTTCATCCTTTGACATTTCATTGAAGTTTTGATCAAAAAGAAGTATACATTTCAGAGCACATTCAGCAGTTGTCTGAACTGCATCTTCTGGTTCCATAGTCTACTTTGCAGAACTGACTGAACATTCCAGTCTACACTAGAGGAAGAACAGGGGGTGAAGGATTTTGGGATGTTTTTGTTATGCTTTTGTGTATCCCAAAATATCAGATGAGATTTAATCCTCCAAGACGGGAGTCAGCGTGATGTGAATTGCAGACAGCTATGGTTTTCTATACAGGGGAGAAGTAGCATATTCAGCCATCAGAGTCATATCAGAAAAACTGAACTGAGAAAGCAAAGACACAGAGAATAAAGAGTACAGAGATGATTTCACAGGAAATCTGAGATGAGATCTGAGGGATGAATGCAAGCTATAGAGACAGAGGCAAAAAGAACAGTGATAAATATTCTTAGTAAATGATTTATACACTTGATGCAGAACCTCTTGCTGAGGTTTCTGGCTTGTATCACATTGGAAACTAAATCAGATCATTGGAAAGACCCCTTGTGTTCTTGAAAATTTCTCATCTTCCCAGAGAATTCAATCTCGTCTTCCATTTTTGATTAATTTTCAAAAATACTATGGGTTACCAAATTATTCCTGACTCTTTGATCCCACAGGATTGCTTTTTCAAAAGTGACTCATATATTAGGTGCCCAGCTTTGAAACACTTAAAAGGCCCTTGTTTTCAGAGAGCATAGAAAATACCCCTACTTTTCCCAAAGAGTACTAATGGACTTCCTAATGAGTGAAGATCTCTCTTTTATGCAGCATCTAAATTATAGTTCTCCTGTCATCACAGCAACATAGGAGCAGCATCATTGGAGGAGCTCTCAGAAGAGACTGCTCTTTACTGAGCTGAACAATAGCATGGGAATGCTTCTAGAAAGAAAAAAAAGATCTTCCCAGTGCTTGCTAAGCCTGGTATTGACCAAGTCTGGAAAATCATAGCACAAAGTGCCATGAGCTTTGATTTCAATGTTCATATGTGGGTAAAGAGATCAACTAGCCTGTTATACAAGAAATAAACCCAGCGATGTTGTGCTTCTTCCAATTAGTAACTGTCCCATTCAGTTCAATATTCTAACTTTATGGATGTTGACAAAAGGAAAGTGTACAAGTCCAAAATCTAGCTCTGAAAACAGTCTCAGGTATTTAGCATGCCCACTCTTGTTGTAAGAAACTTTTTCATATGTACTTTTGATTGCCTTTTTTTCCAGGCCCAATTGTTTCAGTGGATAGCTCTTAGAGTTAA